TTTACAATTCGGTTCAGTCCGTTATTCGGTTTTGGTCGGTTCATGCACAGCCCTAAGAACATGAATTATTATTATTACTATTATTATTATACAAGACACAGGGCACTCACTACGTGAGTGGTTTATAACAGTTTTTTTTTCAATAGGTAATTTCTTTAAAATGATATAAATAAATTTAAATATTATATTTATCTTATAATGGGTAGTTTTTTTTTTAATTGGTATAATTGATAGTTTTTATCTAAAATGGGTAGTTTTTTATTTTATTTTGAATTTTTAAAAAACTGAGTTTGTCTCCGAGTCAACTCGTGAGACAAACTCAGGTTTTGACATTATAATTAGTATAAATAATATAATATATACATATAAGTGAAAAAGAATTATATAAAAGATTTCTTTAATTACGATAAATACCATTGGACCAAAACCAAGCTAGATAATTCATAATTTGTTGAATAAAAATCCTTTGTCCCAATATTGCCTCACTTTGTGTTTCATTCATCAAATGATGTCATCTGTTCTTTTTCAATTTTTTATGTTATTATCTATTTGTCTCGTGCAAATTAAATTATATTAATTCATTCTAAATCCTATAGGAAATATGTTAATATTTAAGAATAACCCTTCACATAAATATTTAATTTTAATTTGGTGCTAAATCTTGTGTTCTTTAGGTGGGATTTTCATTTCATTTTCTTTTATTAATATTATTTTTATTTGTTAAAACTTGAAAAATAAGCAAGACATAGTATAAGGGATATATGTCATGATTTTGTGGATAGGACATAGAGTTGGGCAAAAAATGAGGTGGGAATTTCCATCCTAATTTGTTTTCCTCTTTACCATCTTAGATAAACTTAATAATTTAAATATTAATTAATGTTAATTGTTATATTTTTTTTTAAAAAAAATTGATTAGCATTTTGAAGTTTGAACTATATTATCACTCAAACTAACTTTAAAAATGAAAAATGAGTCCAACAACTAAAATTATGTCACATCAAATTATTTTCTAAAATTTACGCACCATTCAGATTTGGCCTCTTTAAAATAAACAATTAAGTAAAGGTAAGTACTAAATTATTTCTGCTGTGGTAAGTGGTAACCAATATGGTTGCTACTCCGCTTGATGAAATAAATTGTCTTTAAAAAAAAAAAAGGTAAGTCCCAAATTATGATATCATTTTATTAGATGGTACGGACCCACCACGTCATTTATGGGACCAACCAATGATATTAAGACAACTCATCAATTTTCTAAAACTCTATCCCAATAATATCTCAAATTTGGGGACTTACCCTTTATAGAGGATTTATTTTAAAAGGGGGCTAAACCTTGGACTAAAATCGTGTCTAAATTTAAGGAGGTCATTTGACATGGCAAAATTCCATTGGTTAGTCCCATGGATAACGTGGGAGTTCATCCCACCTAATAATTTCTCGAAATTGAGTTTTAAAAAATCTGAGTGTTCATCATATTAACGGTTGGTCTCGTAATTACAGTGATACGTCAGTTATATCTAATAATTTCCGGTATAGAAGAGGTAACACCATCATCAAATATATAGAAAACAAAGTTTAAAGTTGTATTTCTCTCTGTGTTCGTTGTGATCAAAATTTAGGGGCTTGTTAGCAAGTCGAAGGGGCGGCCGGTCTTTTTGTTGTTGTTTTTTTTTTTGGCAATACGGTCTTTTTGTTGTTTAATCATGAGAAAGTGAAATGATTCTTACGAGTTTTAGGAGTTATATCACAGAACTAAACCGTGATACAAAATTTAATCACAAATAAAAAAAATTATGATAGACAGTCATTGATTATTGTTGTTACAAGACGTTTTAGTTTTAATTTTTTATCATGCAATGATTTCATAGTAATTTTTAATAAGTTATTTTCATGTGATCATTATTATGGTTTTTTAGTGTCTACTATCATTATTTAGTTGTTTCTACTGGCCTTGGCTTTTTAGTATAATACTGTCTCAGTCTCTAATTAGATGTCCACTTTTGATCAACAAATACTAAAGTTTGACCATAGTTTATAAAAAAAATATGTAAAATTTAATTTTAAAAAAATTTGTGCTAAAAAGTTTATAATTCAAAGTTTATAAGTGTCATTTTTAAAAATTATTTTGTTTTATATACTTTTTATAAACAATGATCAAAGTTTAGCTTTGTTGACCAAGAGTGGACATTTAATTGGGGACTGAGGGAGTATAATATATTATTATTATGTCGGCTTAAACAATACTATAATAATTCCATGTTGTAGAAAAATTAGTGCTGGGCTACTTTTTATATTAGCATTTATATTTATATTTATTTATAATAATAAGCATAGAGTCCATTAATGTCAAAATAAAAAAGCATAGAGTCAACATATAATAAGGTAAAGAACAAATTGGGTGTAAACAGATAAAAGTATGTTTAAAATAAATCATTATCCATGTGTATATATATAAAATGTTATCTATAATATTAATTAACAAATTGGTGTTGCTTCTAATATATTCAAGATTTTTTTAATTAGTGCTTATTGGTTTTATATATGTATGCTATTTGATCATGAAAAACAAGTCGCTATAGAAAAGGCAAAAATACACTCCTAGCTTAGTTATAATAAAGTCTAAACCATATATTATATAAATAAATAAATAAATAAATTGTATAAGAAAATAAATTAAATTAAGCTCACCAAGTATTACCATAAGCAAGCAGTCTTAAAAAAAAGTTTATCTGCAGTTCGGTTGGATTACAGCTATTACAAAGCCAATTGTTTTCCACCAAATATATTGGAATTAAATTTCAAAATGCAAATTGGAACGTGCTGGTGAGGTAGATAGAATTGGTCGATTAGCTGGCATAGAATTATAGATAACATTTTATTACTAGTTGATTAATTATATTCATAAAATAGCTTCTATTTGAGGTTTTGTTTGAGCCAACATGGAAAAAAGATATTGAAAGTTTTAAATGATTTGTAAAACTATTTTACAACCTGACCCTGCCGGCCCTTGATCTAATTCTAAGAGCGTAAAGCTTCTGATAAGCCTCTTCTATTTAAACTAAAAAAAAAAAAAAAGTTAATTGGAGTGTGTTTATTTTATCAATGGGAAGAATATCCGATTTGACCATCAAACTACCTGCAAAACGAACTTCAATTTTTGAACAATTTTATCTAAATTGGATTATATTTTCTTGTACCTAACGATGCACACTGGTGCAAAGTTAATTAACTATATATAAAAGCTCATACAAAATGCTGCATTCTCATGCATCCACGCTCTCCTCACACCAACACAAAAAAAAAAAAAAGATTTGTTTACACCAGGCAAAAAAAAAGTTAGTTCACACCAAAAAAAAATTTTGTTCACCAGCCACCAAAGGTCACCAGACTCATTCAAATGTTACTATTTACCTTCCCAATCGAACCCTCATTTACATATGCTGAACTAACTCTCATTTGCCCCTATAAAAAGGCCAGCAACCCTCCTATGGTTCTCAAAACACATCATTCTCATCATCCAGATATGTTGTCATTTCTTTCCCCTTCCTCTGTTCTTTCTTTTACTAATTCTGTTTTAATCTCCTTTATTCTTTAGCACAGCAAGCTTTGGAAGGTTTGTCTATACTTGCTTGCTGTTGCATTTTCTTGGTTGTATATCCATATTTATGTGACTTCTAAATACAAGTAAATACTCATTAAATTGATTTTACTCTTTCTTGTATTAGTTTAAACGTTAATTTATTTATGCTGTTGATTTTAATATTGTTTATAATTTAATATTAATTTATTTGGATCATCACTTCATATTGTCTGATCTTTAATTTCATTTTAGTATATTTGTTTTCTTTAGCTACTGTCCTGTCTTTCTACTCTCTATCAACTCATCAATTTCTTTAACAATCCTGTTTTTGATAGAAATAATTGGTGTTACAAAAAAAAAGCTTAGTTGACCTTAATTTCAAATTAATTATAACTTTTAATCATAGTTAAGTTATCAGAGGCAGATTACAGCTGCCATTTTATTTCCGGGCTGTTGCTTTTATTTGTTTTTGCTTTTACAATTCTGTCTTAAGTAAACGATTTGAGAGAATTTTCTCTCTTCTTTTTTTTTTTCCTTTGGACAAAAACCTTGAATTAAAGTCACCTAATTGTCAAAAAAAAAGTCACCTAATTGGTTCGGCCAAAAAAAAAAAAGAGAGTAAAAGTCAACTAATTGGAATCGACTATCTTTCTTATCCAAAAAAAAAAAATGGAATATCCTACCTACAAACAGATCTTAGCTCTTTTTTTTTCTTTAAAAAGGAAATATGGAATTTGGATTAAAAACTTGAGAAAAATGATTATGAATACACATTCTGACAATGAATATCTTCATTCCGTCTTCATAAAATCAATTTGGAAAAGTTGCAGCGTAAATTAACAAGGGAAAAGATTAATTAGATTAAAAAAATGTATTAAACTGAACCTGTTTTTTTTTTTAACAAAATTAAACTGAACCTGTTGAACATGAGAATAGAGGGCAAATTGGAACAAATTGATTTGATTTCATATAATGCTAGAAAACGTCACACAAAATTTCAGGAAAAGAATGAATCTACAGCGAAATAAAATAACGAATGACTGGCATAAATGTAATAATTGAAAAAATGCAAAGACAGAAACAAATAAACAGTAAATGAAATTATCTTTATCATCATCATTTGGATAAAAATAATTACCATTCAAATGTTATTTAAATTGATGGCCAAAAAAATGTTATTTAAATCAATTATCAAATTCTACTCTTACTCATTCATACATAAATTTTTCTCCGGGACGAAGCCCGGGTCGTACCCTAGTTTCTTAAAACATGTAAAAAAAAAAGAAGGTTGAGGATCAAATTGTTTCAAATGAAAATTTAGAGGGGCAAATTAATTATACATTAAATCAATCAAAATCAGATATTCAAAACAATTGAATAAGATGTGAGAGAAAGTTTACCTGATATTTTAATTTCATTAAGTGACCTGAAATCAAATATGTATGCTACAAAAGAATTAGAAAGATCCATTATATAGCAAATTTAGATGGAGATTTGTAAGATCATAAAAGAGACGAAACTTGGGAGGACTTCTGGGATTGAAGGTTTATATATAAAGCACAAATAATGTTCATCTTTAGTACAAATAATAATAACACTAGAGTACAATTTTTGTACTCCACTCTAATGTAGTACTAGTACCTATTGAAGGAGTCATCTATACGATTTTTCTAATTAATAACAGTTTTATTTTATAATAATAACAGATACATATTCCTCGTGTACAAACCAAGTAAGATACTTTAATTCTCTCCATTTTGCGGCAAAAAAAAAAATATTATTAGTTAGATCAATTTTTTAAAAAAATAATTTCAAATTATGATTTTTATGATAATTATTATTAGTTTTTTTTTGGTATCCCATTCGGTATCCAGGGTTTGGCCCTGACTAATCCGGATCCGACCCGTGTCGCGCACCTGGTTATGGTGGGTGAGTCTCCCAACAGGGGGTGCTGCGTACGCAAGGTCTCGAACCTGAAACCTGCTTAAACTGGAACAAACCGCTTACCATTAGATCCAACCCTTGTTGGTGATAATTATTATTAGTTAGGGTCAATCAATATTGTTACTATTGAGCCAATCAATATTTTTTTGTAAGTAATATTTGGTAATTAAATTTTGCAGGTTGGATTGGAAGATTTTGGTGATGACGGTGTTAATTATTTATTTATTTATTCATTCAATCCTTTGGCTCTGTCACGAACGAAATCTGCCATGATTTGCTTCAAGATTATTTTGAAAATTTGAGGTTTTAATTTGAAGGATTTAGAGGATTTAAAGTTAGAAAGCTTGAAGAAAATGAAGTGAAGGGTAAAAGTGTCAAAAGGAAGATGGTAAGTGGTAAAAAGGGGCAGATATTTAGCAATCCAATTTTTAGAATCGACCCGAGCAACCAAACAAAGTCCAATGAGGAAAAAGAAAATCTAATGGATCAAAGAAAGAAAATTGACCCAAATATAAATAAGAAAAGGAAAAGGTAAGAAATTAACCAAACAATCGGCCCGGCAATTGAGAGGAATGGTCCAAATAGACATAAACCCAAAATAAATAGTACAACCCATCCAAGCAAGGAAAATTGACCCCCAAATAGCAAACGAACCCAACGAATGAATGGATCGAAACCCCGAAGATAAAAAATGGAAAATTGGTCCTTTTGCCCATAAATTTTGCAAATTTAGGCCAAATTGTTAAAGTGTCAGGTACATTAATGGAATTCTAAAGTGTCTTTGTTTAGCTTTTTTTTTTGAGAAAAATAATCTAGATTTTATTCATATCATAGTGAAGAAAGACAGATATATGTAGGTAAATAATCTAACCATACTCTCTGCTCTCCCTCTCTACATTTAGAATGAGCAATATCATGGGTAAGCACATTTGCTTCCCTTCTTACATGATCGAAAGAGATAAAATTAAATTGGGTAGAAAAAGTTAAAATATCATGGATTATGGAAGCTCCCATCCAAAGCGATTCATAACCCTTTCTAATCTCCTCGATAGCCTGTTTACTGTCTGATTCAACTAACAAAGAAATATGTCCATGCTCCCAAGCAACTTCAAGTCCAAACAGGATAGCTAAACATTCAGCATGCATCACATTATCAGCTTCTGAAACTCGACTTACTCCTCCCAGGATTACCGATCCAGCTTCATCCCGCAGCACCATTCCTAATGTAGTTATTCCTGTTGATTGATTAAATGCAGCATCACAATTAAGCTTAAGCAAACCTGATCTTGGCGGTGTCCACTTGGTGATATGGTGTCCTTGGATAACCGGCTGATCACCATATAAAGACTTCATCCCTTCCTCAAATTCTTTCACCATTAAAACCACTTTATGGACAAGTTGTGAGCTCAAAATACATTTTCCTTCATGAAGACATGAGTTTCTGTTAAACCACAACATCCACAGGCAAATGAAAATCTTATCTAAGCAACCCTTTTGTGTGGCAAGGACACAAAGATTGAAGCAAAAATCTTCAGCAGATTCATTTGTCAACACAAAATCTTCCATCCATGGAGCTATATCATTCCACACCGATCTTGCATAGTAGCACTCGAAGAAAACATCCTTCAACGTTTCGTCCGACTCACCACATACACAACAACAATCTTCAACATCCATATGTCTTAATTTCAAAATATTACGAACCGGAATAAATCCATGCATTAGTCTTCACATAAAAAGCTTTACCTTTGGAGAAACCCTTGCTGTCCACAACAACTTCCACAAAGGATTTCGAAGCTCCACATCGACCACTTCACGATCCAACATAATCCGAGCTACATGGTAAGCAGATTTTACGGTGAACATCCCTAATTTCGATGCAGCCCATATCAATTTGTCTTCTACCCGATGAGAGCTTAGGCTTATATCCAAGATTGCTTCAACTACAGTCGGTTGGAACAGCTCATATAAAAGGTCTTCCTTCCAATGCCTTTCATCATGGTCTATGAGTTCAGTAACCAAACCATAATCAAGAATATTTGGAGCAATTGAGCTAGGTTTTTCTAATGGCAGGCTAGGTACCCATGTATCTTCCATGATTTTAACCGACATCCCATCCCCAATTCGCCATCTAGTGCCCAATTTCAAGACCTCTCTTCCTTCCAAAATGCTACGCCATACATAGGATGGATTACTTCCCAATTTAGCATTCATAAATGAACCAATTGGAAAATATTTTGCTCGAAAAACCTTATAACACAAAGTTGTAGTGTTATGAATAAAACGCCACCCTTGCTTTGCCAAAAATGCCAAATTGAAAGCTTCAAAATCTCTGAACCCCAGTCCTCCATCGAGCTTAAAAACACTTAAATCTTCCCATGCAACCCACGGAATTCCCTTACTGCTTTTACCATGACTCCACCAAAATCTAGCTAAGATTGAATTAAGGTCCTTAACAAAAGTCTTTGGGAATTTGAAGCAGCTCATCGCATATACAGGGACAACTTGGGCTACTGCTTGTATCAAAACTCCTTTGCCTGCAGCCGAAAAAAGCTTACTCTGCCAGTAATGAATACGTCTCCATATTCTATCCTTAATATGTTGGAAGTGAGGCTTCTTCTCCCTACCGATAAGGATCGGCATACCCAAATACTTGTCCCCATCCAACGACTTGGAGACTCCTAATTTCTGCTTAATTGCTTCCCTATCTGCCAAAGTAGTATTATTGCTGAAATAAACTGCAGATTTATCAATATTCACAAATTGCCCAGATGCCTGCTCATATTGTTTAAGTAGATCTAGAATAGCATCAGCTTCCGTTATCGATGCCCTACCAAACAATAAACTATCATCTGCAAAAAGGAGATGAGTAATCCTTGGTGCTGCACGACATACTGAAACTCCTTGTATCATCCCTTGTGTATCTGCATTATTCAATAAAGCAGATAATCCTTCAACACAGAGCAGGAAAAGATAAGGAGAAATAGGATCACCTTGACGGATTCCACGAGATGGAGCAAAATTACAACATTTCTTTCCATTAACAATCACCGAATAAGAGACAGTACGAACAAACGTCATGATTAATGAAATCCATGAACTCGGAAATCCCATAGTCCTCATCACCTGTTCCAAATAATTCCATTCAACCCTATCATATGCCTTGCTCATATCTAACTTCAATGCCATGTTGCCCACCTTACCACCTTTCTTACTCTTCAAATAATGGACAGTCTCATATGCTACTAAAGCATTATCAAAAATTAATCTTCCAGGTACAAAGGCACTTTGATTCTCACTAATAATATCAGGCAAAATTTGCTTGAATCGATTAGCAAGAACTTTTGAAACAATCTTATAAAGCACATTGCATAAACTAATAGGACAAAAATCTGCAGCCAAACAAGGTTTCTTAACTTTGGGAATTAAGACAATGTTTGTAGCATTCAACTCCGGCCACCAGGTCCCTTAATTTAGAAAGCTCAAAACCGCAGAAGTCACCTCAGTACCCAAAACATCCCAGTATTTCTGATAAAACATGGCAGTCATTCCATCGGGCCCAGATGCCTTGGATGGATTCATTTGGTCTATTGCTGCCTTCACCTCCGACGCCTCCCAAGATTTTGATAGCACCTCCAAATGATCCATAGATAGCCTGGTTTTGATATTGTCGCAGAAGCTCTTTGGGATTCGGCTATGTGAAGAAGTAAACAGCTTCTCAAAATAATCTACAAAAACCTGTTCAATATCATCCGCCTCGACACACCATTTACCCCTCGCATCCTTAATCTTCAGCATTGCATTATCTTTCTTCCTTTGAGAAGCAAAATTATGGAAAAAAGAAGTATTACGATCTCCTTCTCTAATCCATAATGATTTCGCCCTTTGTCTCCAGTATACTTCTTGGCATTTTTCCATCTCTGTTAGTTCCAAAATCAAACCATTCAAATCCTCCAAATTACGATCCTTCCTCCCTCTCTCATAAAAAACTGAAAATTCTCTCTTTAACTTATCTATTTTTGAATCAAGAGAACCATAGACCGACTTGTTTCATTCTGCAAAGCTTATTGAACACCCCCTAATCTTAGCAGATAAATCTTTAAAATTGAAAGCTCTATCCAAACCCCAAGTATCAACTACCACCCTTCGGAAATCTTCATGTCTTACCCAGTTGTTATCAAACTTTCTTGATGGTTGTATGAACTCAAATTGGCGTTTTTGATCCTCAATTTGAAGAAAAATAGGCAAATGATCAGAGAAATTTGAATAAACATGCTTCTCAAAAGAGTACCCAAACCGATCCCTCCATGAACCAGAAACAAGAAATCTGTCCAACCTTTCAAACACTGCATTTTCACCTCTTCCTCTTCTCCATGTTAGCTCCGGGCCTACAACCTTCAAATGTTCAAGTTCACAGTCCAAGATCATGTTTCGAAAATGCTGAACTTGTGAGAAAGGCCTAATTGATCCTCCCACCTTTTCTGATCCATCCATAATTTCATTGAAATCACCTCCTATGACCCAAGGCAATGAACTTTGCCCTTTTAAAGTTCTAATTAAATCCCACGATTCTCCCCTCCTATGAGTAATCGGATTGCCATAGAAACCCGTAAATCTCCATGGCAAAGAACCCTTCCCATCAACAACAATAGCATCATTGTGAGAATTTGAATAGCTCATAATCGAAACCTCCCACTCTTCCTTCCATAGTAACGCTAAACCTCCACTTCTTCCTACACAATCAACAGAAAAACAATTCGAGTAATCCCACCTCGATCGCAGCCAATCCATTTCACCAGTAGTTCTTTTTTGTTTCACTAATAAAAACTAAACAAGGGCGGTGTTTTTGCAACGCCTGCTTCACTTTCGGAATTGCCCTGGCCGCCCCCAAGCCTTGGCAATTCCATGCTAAAATACTCATAATGATAGGCGGAGCTGGCCTTCCATGCCAACCTCCGCCGTTAAAGGAGTATTGTAAACCGAGATACTATCAGAATCCACCTCACCATCCTCCTTACTCTTCTTCCTAGCCTCCATTAAATCACCTTTCGACCCTTCCCTCTTCTGCCCTGTGACTTTATGCAGCTGATCATTTGAGCCCTTATCCATCCTAGAAACCGTAACTGCTGCCCTCTTCCACTTCTTTTTTATTTTGCTTCCACCACCAGAATTGGAGGATTCATTCACGGCCTTGAATACAAAGCTTGGGTCACCTTTAGTAGCTAAACCATCCTCCATAACCACATCCTGACTTCCACTATTCCCTTTCGAAAAGACCTTCTTCTTTGCACCTACAGGACTATCTGAACCATGGCTCTTCTCTAGTAATTTCTGTTGAGAATCACCAACATGATGCTTTCCCGTAACCTGCTCCTTATTTGTTGCACTTAATCCATCAGTGTCATCTTGAAAATCTGATGAATCTTCATTGTCTCTTGCTGCTTTCAATTTTAACAAAGACTGTCCTTTCCGACCTTTGCACCCCTCCCCTTCCCGTCGTTTATTCACCGAGTCTTTCTTCTCCTCCTCTCTTCCAGTACGGGTCTCACTTATACCTGGACCATCGAATTTCACACTCTTAGATCGGGGAACTTCTGCTCTCAACCACGGACCATACTCTTTTATTATCTTTCCCTTATCCCTCCTCATAACCACCGCTTTCTCACATTCATTCTCCACATGAGTCAAGCATCCGCAAACATAGCAAAAATCTGGTAGCTTCTCATAACGAAAGCTAATTAGAATTTTTCCTCCATTAGGAGCTGTCAAGATCATTCCTCTTCTCAATGGTTTGGTCACATTCAATCTCGCTCGAAACCGTAAGAATTTTCCCCAAGCAATTTTATCACCACAAGTATCAATTTCCTCTACCGTTCCAAACGATTCTCCAATCACTCTTCCAATACTTTCATTCATAAAACCCAAAGGAAGATCATGAGCTTGTTTCCAGAAAGAACAACCATCCAACTTGATATCCTCGACACAATCATAGGCATCATAAGACTTCAGTACCAGAAGAGCCTTGTTAAAGTTCCACGGAGTCTGTTGATAGACTCTTTCCTTCTCCAAGTCAGATTCAAATTGAAAGATAAAAAGGTTTTCTCCGATCTCCCTCACCTGCAGACCCCCAGCCAATTTCCACACCATATGCATCACGTTTCTCATCACCTCTACATTGACAGGTCTCCGAGATAGTAATTTTCCGATCAAGCAATTATTCCCCTCTGCTAATGTCTCGTCTACCAGTCTTGGATCCACCGCCACCTCCAAATTTTCTTCCTCCGTTAGGTTAAAATTTTCCCATAAATCAGTTAGCCCTTCCGTCATATCTCACTCCAGGAAAATTGTTATCCCACCACCAACACAAGAGAAATAGCCAATTGAAATCAGTAAAGCAAATTGATCGACAAAATTCAAAAGAATTTGTCAAGATAAAACTTGCACGTCGGCGAGAGGTAGCACTCACAAGGAAACCCTAGGAGAGACAAAATATAAATAAACTGAAGAATGTACTTGTCTTTGTTTAGCTTTGGAATTAGGTGTATTTGGGTTTTGAGATTTTGAGTAACTCTCCTTGTAAATTGCCTTTTCTCTTTAGTGAAATTTTGCTATGCTCGCTTCGCTCGTGGACGTAAAAGTGTCTATGTGGCTGTACCTTCCTTTGGTATCTAAAAGCCTTGGATATAGAGATTGTATTGTTCTGGTTAAGAGTGTAAGGAGTAGAATCTCCCATTGGACAGCAAATCACTTATCCTTTGCTGATAGGCTTCAGCGTGTTCAATATGTCATTTTTAGCATCTAGAGATTTTGGTGCCAAAGCTTCATTCTGATCCCTAGTTCGATTGGCTCAGCCGATTGTTTTATTCTTTCTTTTGGAATGGAAAGGAGGGTAATGCTAGAGAAGCCATAATAAGTTGGGATTAGATTTGTCATCCCAAACCAGAAGGAGGCTTGGGGCTTAACAATTTAGTAGTATGTAATCAAGCTTGTGTACTTGAGCAATTTTGGAGCATTTATATGCAGGTAGGAGTAGGATCTTTGTGGATAACCTAGATCTAGAGGTGACTATGGTTCGGTTTCGGTTTCAAACCGGCGGTTCCGGTTCTTAAAAAGTTTGAATGGGGATCTTACCCATTAAGTAAGGTTCCGGTTTCGATTTCGGAACTGACGGTTCTCGGTTCAGTTTCGGTTCCAAACCGAAACCTTTTTTATTTAGGAAATATTTTTAAAATATAATATAATATTAGTTAATTAATTACTTTTATGTTTAAAAAATAATATATATAAGAAAATATCAAATAACATGACACTATTTCAGGAAACAAATTAAGAAAACTAATATATATATTATAAATTTTATAAATATATTAATAATAAAAATAATTAAAATATGGACGATTTCGATTCCAGTTCCATGTATGTGAAACCTAACTGGAACCCTCCCAACAAAGGTTCCGATTCGGTTTCGGAATCAGAACCTTTTTAACAGTTCCAGTTAGATTTTGGTGACCACAGTTTTGGTTTGGTTCTACGATTCGAGCCGGACCATGGTCACCTCTACCTTGATATACAACTATGTGCTTAAATGACCATTTGGCGCTTTGGACCTAAAATTATTTTGGACATTTTACCCCCTAAAGTTTTATGTAGACACCCGATTGCCCCTTTAGCTTTATAACTACTCAAATTTGATAATTTATCTTAACTTAATTACTTTACTTTGGCATTTTTTTCTTCTTTGGCTTCACATTGAAATATTCATTGTGGAGTAATTAAATTAGCCAAAGGAACAACATGCTTGCTAAATAAAACTTAAAGAGGTAAAATGTACAAAATAATTCTTTATGGGTAAATCGTCCAAAATGACATAGTCAGGTCGGGAAATGGTCATGTAGCCTTGTATCTGGTTACTAGTTTTGGTAGCAGTATTCCCCTGCTAAAAGATAAATAAATAAATATATAACAAACAATAATAATTGAAGTGTGGATTACCAAAAAACCGATAAGGACTCTCACCACATTCAATTGGGGGTACTATTTGCATGGCGTTTGCGTCTTTTTGCCTATGGTTTGGTTGTGATTTCATATAAGCCTCGAGGGTAATTTGGCCATCCAATATAAGTATTGAGGATAATTTGGGCATTTCAATTCTTTTTTACCCTTCACTTTGGATGTTCACTTTGAATGACATGTTAGGGTTTGGCTTTCATGTCATAGTTAGGGTTTAGCCTTCATCTCACTTAGGGTTTGTCATTTCATGCTAAGGGCTTGGGTTTCATGTCATGTCATTTTTTGTCTCCATGAGGTTTCATGACATTTTTTGTCTCCTTTGGCCATTATTTCATGTTGCTTAGTATTTAGAGAGGTGGATGTTTAGAGAGTTTAGTTGTTAATTTTAGTTTGGTTTGCTTATTAATATTTAATTTTAGTTTGATTTAGTTTGATTTTGGTTATTTGATTATAGAGTGACTTAGTTGATGATGCTTCAATTTTTTTGTTGGATGTTGTGGTCATGCTACATTATTATAGATGTATATATGTGTATATAGTATGATTACATGTATATATTATTATGAGATTATTATGTAAGTTACATTATAGATTTATAGATGTATGATATGATAACATGTAACTATATTATTATGAGATTCTTATGGGATTCATTTGTTTGCTTAATTGGGCATTTGGGTTTAATTATGAGATTAAAGGTTTGTTTGTTTTGTGGTTTGGTCTATTTTAAACTTTTTTCCTTTTAATTTATAGTAATATAAAATTCTCCTTTGGGCTGAGTTGATTTGTAATTTCGGTCTTTGTAAACTCTTTGGCTCAGACAGCTGCTCAGAATTCGCCGCTCAAATGTTTTCCTATGTTCTCTCTTGAGTGTTGCTACTTTCACTCATTCTTTTTGTTGGCATATCCAATTGATGCAAGTTTCTAATTCTCTCTCATCATCTTCTTTATTTTTTTTACTACTTTTCTCTTCTCTTTCTTGGGATTCATTTTGCATGTCAGCTCTCTTCTTCCTTCTTTTTTCTTTCTTTCAACTTCACTATTCTCTCCTCTTCTTGGCTCAGGTGGGTGTTCATGCTCATATTTTATTTTCTGCATTATTTTTTCCTTCGGTTTGCCTTTCACTCTCTCCTCTTCTTAACCTTTTCCTCATTTGGTTTACAGTTTCTCATCGCATCTTTTGTTTCTCTCATTCATGCAGGCTGATTCATCTCCTTGATTTCGATTTCCTTGAAATTTTCGTTGCTGTCATAAGGTTAATCCCTTCAATTTTGGGTGGAATTTTCTTTTGGTTTTTCTCCCTGTCTGTTTTTCATGTGGTTTTGGTTTTGCTTTTCATAGTTTTTCTCTGAATTTTTCCTTTTCATATTTTTCTGTCAGACATCTTCTGAAAAAAAAAAAAAGACAAAGTCATCGTGCCACTGTCGGAATTTACTGGGGATTTTTCATTGTTGTCAAATCTAGCGCCAAAGGGACGAAGAGAAAATGAGTGCCAGAGAACACAGACGAAGAAGAGCAAGGCCGAGAGAGAAGGATTGAGCGTCTTGGGAAGCAGACAGGTCGATTACCGGAAAATCCATGAAAGGGATGCGAGAGCAAAAATTTCAGGTTTTATTAGGTTGTATCTTTCTTCTTTTTCGTTTAAATTCTTCTGTATCCCATTTTCTCTTTTGGGTTTTTCCTGTGCATTCCATTTTCATTTAATCTGTTTCAGGCGAAGATCAGGTTTTGTACAATAGATGGGGTAATCCAATTAATTGAGCACATGCAAGAATTAATTCACCAAGAAAGTCGAAACTTAATCTAAGCAAATTAATCAAACATAGTATCAATCATAGCATCCAAACACATAAGTCTTACATAAGATCCAAATAGAACAAATACAAATACGAATGCAAATGCATGCAATGTCATGATAAAAATGCAAAACATAAAAGAGTTCATAACATATGACATCCTAAGGATAAGAATCATCGGCCTCTCCTTGGTCTCCTTTGACCCATGGAATCACGTAGGGTATCCTCCATTCTCTCCATGTAAGATCTCATCTCACTCCTATGTTGTCTCATCTCTCGAATCATAAGTTGTTGAAATTCTCTCATAGGAAGTTCTTGGAAATTTTCTTCATCAACTTCCAAAGATGGTTGTCTTGACCCTTGTGATTGTTCAAGTCCTTGTGCATAAGTCCTTCTTTGCACATTGTACCAATGTAACACATTGGCAACAACTCTCCTCCTTAAACCCAAATGACTTAAACAATTCACATCAATAACATTGTCTTCATTGTTGAAGCAATACTCACCATCGACTTCAACTCCTTCATTGACCAAAATCTTGCTAATCAACAATGGGAAAACAAATGCCTTATCTTCATGTGAAGAATGAACTACTTCCCACATCCTTGAGAGTAACAACCTAGCCATTGGTATTCTATTACAATGACCTAATCCATGGCAAAGCTTGTCTACAACATAGAAGTCTTCAGTGCGAAGCTTATGCTTGTTACTACTCCTATGAATGACATTATGATGTAATAAGTAACACACAAGTCTATCCCTTGGTTCCATGTACTTGACTCTTACCTCTCTACTCCCTTGGTTATCCATACCAAGAGGAATGTCAAAACTCCTTAAAGCACCATCCCTTTTCCATGTGCTCTCGGTGGCGGTCCTTTGCTCTCCATTAACATAAGTAAAATAGAACATACTACCCTCATTGTTCAAATCAAGTAAACGGCATAGATATTCCTCATCAACTACAATGTACTTACCTTTAACCATTGTGTTGATGGTGTAGGAATAACCATCACGCTCCTTGTCCATGTTTGCATAAAATTGTTTCACCAAATTGGGATAGTAGTATCCATCTACTTGAAGAAGTGATCCCCAACCTCTATTGACAAATAATTGGCTAACTCCAAGTTCTTGATCAATGTTGGTTGGAAGTACTTTTTCTATAATGAAAGAGTTGTTACACTTTGCTCCATACCACTTTTGACATTCATTATCAACAAATATGGGTGGCGGCACACTAAGGTAAGGTTGTATGGTGGTTTCCTCCTCAATTGGTGCGGCTTGGGATGTTGATGCTCTTGCTCTCACTCTTCTTGACATTTTCTCGAACACTTAGTGGGCACTAGGTTACCTTGTAGGATTTCTTGAAAAATCTTTCTTTAAAATCCAATGTAGTACTCCCCAATGCTCTAAAATGCTCCAATCAACTTCCAAACTATCTCTTATCTCCTTTCTAATCACTCCAAACAAGAATCCAAAGAAAACAACCGCTTTCCCAAAACTTGATAATTTGAAAAATTGATG